ATTCTTATTTGCCTAGTTTTATTCTTCGAACATCAGTTCTTTGGAATTTGCTCCATTCATCTTCTTTTCCTGATTCATATAATTTGCAATCTTTTAAGTCATCTGTTACTCGTTATCCAGTAAATTTCAACTTTAATAATAGTGGTTGGTTGCAGCCTTGTAATTTTATGCATTGATTTAAAAAAGAATGTGTGACCATGAATCATTTTTTATTTGGTTTTTCAATATTATTTAATTCCTTTTTTGTTGTAGGAATTAGTGTTGTTTAATGTTTTTAATTTTTAATTTAATTTTTTAATGTTTAATTTAATGATGTGTTATTTAAATATATAAATGTGAATTTTGTGAATTTACTTTCAAAATTAAATTTACAAAATAAATTTTAGGATTATAAAAATCTATTTCATAAATTAGTCAAGTGGTCATCTGTCATGGAGTATCACAATTAACAGTAATCTTATTTGAAATGTTTAATGCGTTTTTTCAGATATTCGATATATGTTTATAACAACTGTATTGCGGCTGTTAGAAGCTGGCTTAGCTGCAGAAGAAAGCAAATGGCATCCTGATTATGTTACAAATTGGATTCAAAATGAAGCAATAGAACAAAAGTATCAACCATCATATGAAACATTTAGACATGCATTATTCTGTTATATGGAAGATCGTATTGTGCCTGTTCTCACTTCCATTGTTTCTAGTATTGATAGATTTCGTAATCTTGAAATTCTTCACAATGAACCAGAATATACAAAGCTTTGGCTGGAATTATTTTCTAAGTTCACTGTTATCTCTAACAATGCACCCAATAAGTTATTGGATCCATATTTTAGTTGCAAGTTTCCATTTTCAGATAGAATTTTCAAAGAAATTAATGATGCATTACAAAATTGTTTACAACCAGGTATAAAATTTTATAGATTGTGTATATATATTTTTAATGTTGATGCTTATATGTACATATGTAAAGTTTTTAAATAGGGCAACTTAAAGGTTTTATTTATTTTTTTTTTAATTTAGTTTTTTAACAAAACAACTGTTCATTATGTCAGAGAACTAAATAATTGTTTGACTCTAAACAGACAAAGTTCTAAATTATTTTTTCTACTATATCTATAAGTTTAATTCTTTCACTAGATGATAAATGTTAGTGTAAATAGTACAATGTCATATAATAGAATCAATAGTAAAGGTAACAATACAAGTTGGAATATATATACTTTTATTCTTTGTGTTGTTTTAATTACTAAGTTTTATCAATGATCTTTTCAAAATCAAATTTTGCACTGTCCATCATTCAAGTCTTAAACTAACCTTTTTGAGCAGATATCCACAATGGTTTTTTCCCATCTGGTTGTATAAATATCAGTTGCCAATTTTTAAATTAATAATAAAGTATATTGATTTTTATTTTTTCACATAAAAATGTGAACTAAAAAGAGTTTATATGTTCTTTTATAAGTTTGAAAATTTTAAATGTAAATAACATAACTAAAACAATTGTTAAAGCAAAGAATAAAACAATTGTAAAAAAACTTGTGGAAAAAACAATAAAGCAATAACAAAAACTTGTGTGAAAAGAACAAAACGCTAAATAGTTATGAAGAGAGATGTTTTCTAACCCTGAAATTAAATTTGTATAATTTTATAGTGTTTTAAACAATTTTTAGTTATTTTTTCTATATAATTTTGGTTGCCTAGCATCTCTAGGTAATATTATAATAAAAAAATTACAATAAATAAGTGTTTAGATCGTGTTTAAAAAACAAAATTCAAATTCAAAGCATGCAATACTTTTTTATTGAGTTCACAGTTGTCTTACATTGATTTATAGTTGTTTTATAAAATTAGTACTCCTTTATTTGTTTTATTTTATTTTATTTTTTCGCGCCAAAATACAGTGTTTTAAATTGAATAGTTGATATTTAGAATAGTCAGCTAATAATTAGAATTTATTATATATATATTTTTTTGGTTTTAAATTAAGATGCAACACATGAAACACATGAATATAAACATATATATGACACAATTGGATCATTACCAATGGCAAGTCTGATTATGGGGTCGACAACTATGGAAGTAGATAGTTATTTATTTGACATACTACAAATAAAGTATCCTGATCATTTGCAAAGTTCTGAGCAAGGCCTACACTCTTACAAAGTAATTTTTTTATATTTCTTTATAATTTTAAGAACAATATTGGCTTAATGTTTATAAAATGCAATTTTTTTTTCATTTAATAACTTTAAAAAATATTTAGATCTTGGCATATGGTTTGATTTCTTTTACGAATTCTGTAGTTATTTCAAGAAATAAATATTTTGATGCTTGTGGTATAAAACTAAATGATATAATTAATAACAATAACTGTGATATAGTCTCTATACACATTGCTTTGAACACTAAAATATTTGAAGAAAGACTCAAAAGTATTTCTTTGATGCTTATCCTTCAACCAAAATTAAAAGAAGCTAAATTAGGTCAAGAATCAGAAATAGTAAGATTTTTTTTTCTTTTTTTTACAATAACAATTTTATAAGAGTTCTACAATAGCATAAAGTTAATAGGAAACATTTTCCTGTTTATTGTTTTATTGTTAAATGTAGTAATGGTAGAGCACTTGCTTCAGAAAGGGAGTAGAGCTGGATTCAATCCCCATCATTTTCCTGATGATGCCAAACTTGTTTCTTTGTACAGCAAATAATTAGTTCAAAGTTTTTTTACCTCCCCTAATCAATATTTTACATTTTTTTTAAATCGCTAGAACTTTTAGGTTAATTTTCAAAGTTTTAACAAATGTTAAACAAATTCAAAATTAAAATGTGCTTTAACTATCCTTATTCAAAACTTCATATGTAAAACTATAGGATTTGAAAAGTTTCAGTTTTTTTGACAAATCTTTTGGCAGAACATAACTTTATCAAATATTTTACAACTTATGTTGCATGAAAATTGCAAGAGTTCTTTTGTTAATTTCTTAAAATTTACTTTATCAAAAAAGTTTAATATTAGACTTACGATAAATTGAAGTTTCCGGCTCCATTTCCATAGTAATATAAATCTAATTATGCAATTCCATAGTAAAATAAATCTAATCATGTAATCTAAATATGCAATTAAATTCACAATGAAAATAATATTTTACGATGATGCATTTTTTATGATATGACATTAAGAAGTAAAATGACTTTTGGAACCAACTTAACTTAAAATAACTTTCTTATTACAAAAATAGTTTTTTTAAACTATCAGTCTACTTCATTATATATAAATGGAAAGTTATGTTTCTACAACTTTTTTGTTGATGAAAAAACAAAGAAATAGATTCATGCTGTTCATAACATACTTTGTTGTACCAAAACATTTTAAAGTCTGCTCCAATCATATTTTTTATTTAAGTAATTAAGACACTTAGTAATTAAGGCACTACTTCTAAGTGCTCCAATCATATTTTTTATTAAAGTAATTTATGTTAGTTGTTTTATGTTATTTAATTTATGTTAGTTATAATTACACCTGGGTCTTACAATTAAAGGAATTTGTTTTTGCATATCTGTGGAAGTTGTTATTTTATTATTACATGGGTTATATTATCTTATAAATTGAAGAGCTTGATTCTGACGCTTTCTCAAATTTTGGACAACTATGTAACTATGACAACTATGTCAAACTGTTTTAAATGACTATATCTAAAAGTGATTAGATTATAGTTTTTTCTAAAGTATATTTTTTGAAACATCAATTGCCCTAGATGTTCAAGCTTGTATATGGAGTGACTATAAACATGCAAAAGTCAAATTTAGAAGCAATAACTCCAAATAATATATTATAAAATTTTATTGCTGTCTTCCCTTTATGGCCGACAATCCTTTGATATTTTCATTTTCAGAAGTAATGATATTCTTAATACACTTAAGCACTATGATTAGGATATTCTGCTTCTAAAGTAAAACAAGTAAAAAAAGTATCAAAAAAAGAACTTGGAAATTTGAAGATATCAAACATTGGTAATGTATGCATTTATGAAGAACAGGCAATTAAATAATAAAACAGTTCTGTATTTTAAAAAATAACTCAGCCATTACTATATACCAATCATAAATAATAAACTGTGTGTACTGCTATATCAATCTTGAGAAAATCATTAGTTTATAAATTGTCTTTAAAAAAAAAAATTAGTTTATTAAATATTCTTTTTTCTTTTAGAATATCATATTCCTTTATGCTCATAAGAATTTTAAATAATTTTTTTCTATTTAAACTGCTATTTTAAATTTATTATTTAATTTTAGCATTCAATTTTTGTTCAAATTTGATTCATATTATTAATAATTCTATATATAGTATGAATTGTATCAAAAAAATTTGAAAAATTTGAATTTCATCAAATATCATTTTTTTTTTGTAAAATGATCTTAACTATTATTAGTCTATTTAAACTTTAGGTCATTATTATTACAAATGACTTTAGGTCATTATTGTTACAAATGACTTTAGGTCATTATTGTTACAAATGACTTTACGTCATTATTGTTACAAATGACTTTAGGTCATTATTGTTACAAATGACTTTAGGTCATTATTGTTACAAATGACTTTAGGTCATTATTGTTACAAATGAATTATGAATTAGTAGAATTATCAATTATATGGTCTTTCATAAAAAATAAAGAGATCACTTTTTTTTAACTTTAAAAACAGTTTGTTTTGATGCATGCTCTTTATAGAATTTTTTTATAGCATTTTCTTTGTGATTATTTGTAACTGATTATCTGTTTTATATAAATGGTTTTTTCTTTTAATAAACAAATTTTCTTCAGATTATTTGATTGTATAATTTTTGCTTTTCATGTGAAAAAAGACAAAAACTAGTTAAAAACATGAATTGTTTTTGTATTATGAAATATATACATATATATATATATATATATATATATATATATATATATATATATATATATATATATATATATATATATATATATATATATATATATATATATATATATATATATATATATATGTATGTATATTTAAATATTACTCCTCGGAATTAGAAAAAATGAGGTTGGCAAATTATTGCATACTTTTAGAGGTCGTCAAAAAAATTGATACAAAGGTCTTACCATAAAGCATAGAAATAAGGTTGTCAATTTTTTGCCAACCTCAAATACTTTGAGGTTAGCAGTTAAGTTGGTGAATTAGCCGACCCTAATTCCAAAGGTTGATATATATATATATATATATATATATATATATATATATATATATATATATATATATATATATATATATATATATATATGTATGTATGTATGTATGTATGTATGTATGTATGTATGTATGCATGTATATAGCTTTTATTCTTTATAACATTCAAGGATATAGATGTTCATTTAATAAATCATTTTCTATCTCATTTTGCTTCTAAATGCTTCTCTTCTGGTGTCATTGAGGAAATTAGAAAAACCAAAGTGTTGATCAATTGTGTTTTTGAGTCTGTTATCAAAAGTAAATGCAATAATGCAACAAAAGAAATGGTGAAAAAACTACAGTAGGCTTTTTTACGTAGATATTATATTAAAATGAATTAATTATTATATTTAAAAAAGTTGAATTTGATATTACATATAAATGCAAGAAATCCATTACATGTGAGTGTATTACTCACTGGTCAGACTTATTTCAATAATGTTTATGTTTATGAATGTTTACGAATAAATTTTATGTTTATGAATGATATCTCAATGGTAATCTTAATGACTTAATAGTTCCAATATTTTTTATTTCAAGTAATTTTTTATTTTTTAATAATATTTTGCTTTTTTCATTTTGCTTTATTGGTTTTGATAAAATATTTCAAATTAAAACATTAGACTTTAAAGTGCTTTTTAATGTAATTTAGAATTCGTTGGTGCAGTTTTAGAATCTGTCAAAAGTTTTCAGATGTTGTGTTTCAAGCCTCTACAAGTTTTTGCAATCATCAAATTGATTTGTTAACCTTACTGCCAAAGGTATTTTTTTTATTAATTCACTATTGCTTCATTTTCAAAATAAGTGTGGGGAAGGGGGTTGCATTAACGATTGAAATGTATATTTTGCACAGTCTTCTATTATATTACAAATCACTTATATCTTACACTGATCAGATTGTTTTTTCATTTGTTTCATTGTGGTGTAAAATGATAAATAGCAAATTTTTTAAAATTTTTCAAAGTTTTTTTATCAAGTCATGAAAAAAATGATTTTAATTACTAAATTTTTTTAAGTAAAAATATATAAATTATTTTTTATTACATAATTAAAGTTTTATTAGTTATTTCATTTTCTAGAGTTAGTTTTATTAATTCTAGAAGTTGGAAACTCTTCCAAATGATATGCTAACCCGTGAATCATGGTATATAGTTGAAGCATTTTTAAAAGAATCTCTTTTAATCGATTATTCTAACATGTAATTTAACTTTTTTTTATTTTATTTTAGTAGTAGTTGTAATTATAATAATAATATTTAATAAGTTATTATTGTAATTGTTATTATATAAATGTATTTATTAATTAGATCCCCAGCAATAAATTCATTTTGAAAAAAAAAAAAATTCAAAATGAATATATTTCTATTTGTGTATTGCTTTACTCAATGTAATAACATTCCATTTACAAATGTTTTCAAATAAGATTCCACTAACTAATGTTTAATAAAACTTTATCTTGAATTTGGTTTGCTAAATGTTTTTATCGATACAGTTCAAACTATGGAGCCACACATCACTGCTTATTAAGCATTATTAAATATCTCCTACTTAGTGTTTTGTATATTTTTTTTGAAAAATGTTTTATTTTTTATTATTAAATTTCCAATGTTTCATAATTGTGTGCTTTGTGTGATTTTTGAAAATATTTGCTATTAAGTTAATCGCTAATTTTCATCTTTCAAAAAAATAGCTGTATCTTGAAAATAAATCACTTTAAGCAAATCAGTACATAAAAATATATCAAAAATCTTAAAATTAAAAATCTTTCAGATTTAATTGCTGGGACTATTGTTATTAATGTTATAATAATTAATTTTATTTAATTCATTGCATGCATTGCATTTTTTGCATTATCTTATTAGTAGAGAAGATTGCTCAGTTAATAATTGGAATGAGGCATGTAATACTGAATTTAATGATAGAGATATATATCAAGAAAGAAGGTATGTTTTATTTTTTTCATAGTTCTTTAAACATGTATATATATATATATATATATATATATATATATATATATATATATATATATATATATATATATATATATATATATATATATATATATATATATATATATATATATATCATAAACTCTTCCATGTTACGTAGTATGTATATATCTTATACTGCAGAGCTAGGTGAGCATGATAGCGTCATACTGAAATAGCCTACTGCTGGGGGCTTCAGTACATACATCAACTGACAAATAGCCTGACTCGCAGTGGAGTGCTGCTACATTGACTGAGGGTTTGGGATAGTCAGCAACCTTTTCATTCATTATTCTTTGTTTTTCCTCTTCGTTTTCTAAAAAATGTATATCAATTTAGATAAGCAAAAAAATTGAGCAATTGCGCATATAAATATGCTATAGTAGATAGGTGTTGCCTAAAGGACATAGCTTATTAACAATCAAGACATACAGATCTTTTAATATTTATTCTGAAAAAAGTATAATTTCTATACATCATTAGTAAATTACATAGACATATTTGTCTATGTATAATAGCTAATCACATATTTTTTTTTAGACAACCAATTTGAAAGTAGAGTGGCTAATGAATGGCGTAGAGGTCATATTTATATGAGATATTTTTTTATTTTTCACTTTTTCTTGATATAAGTATTTGCGCAAATTGTAAATAATGATGCTTTTTAAAAAGTTGCAATGATTGGAGTCTGGTATCAAAAAAAGCCCTTAAATGTCATCCCTTCTGCCCCAAACGTGAGAGCAACAAGTTGGTAAAAAATTAATATCGTAGTAATATCTCTCAGAGTTCATAAATTAAAACCAGATGTTTAGATATAAATAGATGAAATAATTTTTTTGCTAAGAATAGCAAAAAAATTATTTCATCAACTTGTTTCACATTTGGGAAGGGGGATAAAATTTTAGGGTTTTTTTTATTCCCAGCCTCCAATCATTGCAATTTTTTATAAAGCATCATTATTTGACACAAGTATAAACATACAAATGTTTGAATTTTGCTCCATGTTAGCTATCTCAAACAAAAAAAAATGCTGGATCCTGCCACAGATCTTTTGTTTCTGAAGCAAATTTGCTTCAAAATTCAACGTTTAAATGCTGAAAATGCAATAAATGTTTATATACATATAAATTTTCAGCTTAAGACAAATATCTCAAGAAATATGTAAAAAAATAGTTTTTAAATGTAATTTTAAGGTTCATCCATCCACACCAGACATCCACTCAAGATTCAATTTATTAGAACCATTCAATAAGAGAAAGCGAGAAAGCAGTTGCCTTAGCTCATTAAATCTACTTTTCTTGTTTTTTTTTAACTATTTTTTACAAGAATTCCTTATTTGAAGTAGCTTCTAAAGCTCTTTCTTCTTCAAGCTCAACACATTATCTACATTATCTTGAATAAATTTTCCTGTAAGCATGGCAAAATTCAACTTTTTATTACAAAATATTTTTCTTAAAACAAGAAATACATTTCTTGTTTTAAGAAATAAATATCCTATCCTGCAATTTATTTTTAAGTACAAGAAATATATTTCTTGTTTTTAGAAATAAATTTCTCAAATTATATTTAATAGATTTACAATATTGCTGTAAATTCTGATAAGTTGTTATGATTGGAAGTTCACCAGAAAAGTTTTGGAATATATTGTATCCAAAAAGTCTGAGGGTGTCTCATCTGTATGGGCTTTTTCAAATTATGATTTTGAATATCAAAAATTAACCAGTAGTTCCTGAAATATACAATTCAAGACCTAGTTGCTCGTCTTTATTAACAAAATCTGCTTTCAGATGGATTTCAACTTTAATTCTATCAGTTTTTATATCTTTTCAGACCTCCCTTTGTTTTCCAATAAAGAACTTATTACCATTTTTATATTGTGATCTCGGTTAAAAGATGCTAACGCTAGCACTAAACATCTCTATGGTTTTAACATAATTTGAATTTCACCTCTACAGTAGGCTCAATATACATCTCCCAATAGTCTTGTTGATCTTAAAAGTATAAGTTAAAAATAATACAATGTAGATAAAATAAGGTTTAAAATGACATTGCTAAATACTTGTTACATTTATTTTTGTCAAGATAAAATCAAAGTGCTATTTTTATTGATTTTGAAGAAAATCATTAGAAGAAAAAATTGGTTTAGAGTTATTTTCTTTGTATTTTACATCTGATTTTAAACCATTTTGCAAACCATTGTTAATTAACAATTTGTTACTTTATGACATAAATTTTTAAAAAATAAGACTAAAATATCAAAACTTATGAATGTCTTACTTTAAAAATTGCAGAATCAGAAAAGTCGCAGGTCAAAAACCGCGGTTACAAAGAAAGAGAGATTTAGTCAGCTATTCTATTGATTTCTTTGAGTATTTAATTACTCAAAATAAAAACCTGCTTGATTTTAGAGAAATGAAACTTGAATTTCAAGAAATTCGAGGCGTGTGAAACAGCTCCATATTTGTTAATTTTCACCTAATGGTCTGATTTTTTTCTGCGAGTTTACAATAATCTCTGCACTTCTCAAAAGTCTGTATGTAAATAATTTTAAAATTAGAAACTTATTCTTTTTTTTTTCAAAAATCTATTTTAAAGTGAAGCAGTTTTATCTTTATCTTACAATTTTTAACCTTTAATGATTTTATGATATAAATAGTTTATTTCCCAGCTTAACAGTTTTATTTATGGCTACAGCTATGACATAATGTTAGAAGGTTAACAAGTATAATGGTAGGCCAGGAAACTTAGCTAATCTTTTTAAATAGCCTCCTTTTAAATAGCCAGGGCATAAAGTGGGTGAACTGTTTAAGATAAAAAGCATCTAACAAATTTTTAATTGCTGTGTATTGGGCCTCAACGCTATCTTGTTTAAAAACCATGTTTTTTTAATTTCATAACGAATTAGTGCATTTTTAAAATACCACCTAATAACAAAAATAATAGTAATAAAAATGCGCACAATCTGTATAGATAAAAAACCTTGCCTTGCTTGTAATGTACTTGTAACGTTATTATATAGTTAATAATTTGTAAATTTCTATTTGCCCGATTGTTTGAAAAAGCCCGTAAAAACTCAAAAAGTGTTAAATTTTAAACTAGTGGCGCAAGTATAAATAGTCATTTTGAATAAAAAATGTGTTCATGAGGGTCAAAATGGGATGGACTAATTTATAATATATAGTTTTTATATTATATCTGAATATTACATGTTGTATTGTATATGCATTTATAAGACAATATTTAGGACAATATGTTTTTTGTTTAAACAAAACATATTTATGATAAGCATTAAGTAAGATAATATTTTATCTTTTATTACTTATATTTACAATTTTTTTTTTTTGCAGTATATACTTTATCTCTATAACTTTAGGGTTACTGAAAAATTAAAGTACATACTGAAAAAATATTAGTTAAAATTTAAAAATGAAGTTTTTAATCTATTTAATCATAATTATATTCATAGAATTTCAAAAAAAAAATTTAACAAAATGTATAACAGCCAGTATTTGTTATGTTGGAAACAAAAAATTAAAAACCTCAATCATTAATGATAATAACCTTTCTGGTTATAACTTGATTAGGAACAATCCTTTTAATACTAAAACATTCCTAAACGTACATTTACTATGATAAATTACACTATAGTTTTTTTGAGTGTTATTAATTTGTTTTTGCATTGAGGGGCTGTTAGGTAACATTGTTGAAGGGCTGTTAGGTAACATTGGTTTCACTTTTATGACAGGCATGCTACTTTATTTGCAAATTATTTGAGAAGAACATATATATATATATATAGCTGTTTGAGCAGCCATAGTAATAAGCAAGTTGTCTTATATATATATATATATATATATATATATATATATATATATATATATATATATATATATATATATATATATATATATACATATATATATATATATATATATATATATATATATATATATATATATATATATATATATATATATATATATATATATATATATATATATATATATATATATATATATATATATATATATATATATATATATATATATATATATATATATATATAGAGGCCTTAGCGGGTATAAATAAGTGTGAGAGCAGAGAAAAGCTCTCCTAAAACAAACAGCGAGCCATACGAGCAGCTCCTCTAAACAGCTTTTTACAATAGTTTTCTGTTTATACGCAAGCTATCTGTTTAATTGTTAGAAAAATTGCTTGTTCAATTAAGAATGGGGCCAAAAAGTTATGCAACATGTACCTTATGTGTAACAGTAACAAGAGATCAATGAAATCAAGTCCATCTTATTACACACTGGTCAATTATACACTGCTTGCCCAAAATGATTTTATACTTGTTTCATACATTTGTTTGTAACGTTAATGTTATGTGAAAATATACACAACAAGCGTTGTTTATCATGATGTGAAAAACAATTTTTGTAATAATTGTGTCTTTAAAAAAGCATTGCAGTTTGTTTTCCAATTATTGGATTATTTCAAAAATGTCTTTAGTGTTTTTCATCTCATTTAATATGATAATAGTTTTCTCTTATAAACAACTTTGTAAACTTAACCATATTGTCACAAATGTTATAGTTATATTGACTGTTAAGCAAAAAAAGTAGCAACAAAAAAAAAAAAAAAAACTTCATTTGCAATCAAAAAAATCGATCTGAAACTCGAACTTTGTCTTTTTTATTCGATCTAGTTTGCACAAGAATTCTTGTGTAAACTAGATGATTAAAAACTTGTTTTAATCATCTAAAAATAGAAGGAAAAAAAAAGAAAGTGATTTATATTTATGAAAAAATATACCTTTGCTAGAGCTATAAACTGCTCCCATAAACCACTTTAGAGGAGAGTGGGCCAAAGAGAGAGCTAAAGCTCTCTCTTTCCACTGAGGCCTATATATATATATATATATATATATATATATATATATATATATATATATATATATATATATATATATATATATATATATATATATATATATATATATATATATATATATATATATATATATATATATATATATATATATATACATTTATATATGTGTATGTTGGAGCAAGAAATATAGGAATGTTAAATCTTTGAAAAACTTATAGATTCATAAATATTAATATTAATTAAAAGGTAACACTTGGAAATTTCCATTTCCAGAAAAAAAAGAGTTTACCTTTTTTTTTTTTTTAGACATACTGTTTTTGAAAAAGAAGAATTCAAGAAGCGATGCATTTCATTTTATGCTGAAGTTGTTGCTTTTCAAGAAAAGATTTTGATAGAGTGGATACAAATGTCATTGAAAATATTCTGGATTATGTTTTTTCTTCCAAAACCACTAAAGTATTTTCCCCAATACCAGATTATGCACTTGATCCAACTCCTGTTATTCGTTCATTTTTACTCCAACAACTTCTTCAAAGGTTTGTTTTTTTATGTTTAATGTGTTCAGTTTTGAGATTATGTTACGCTGTTATTGATTGATATGAATAGTTAAAAATTAAATTAAACATAAAAGTGGTTGCCAAGTCAAGAAATATTAAAACTGTTCATCAGCCCCAAAAATGTTATACATGTTTGTTATTCCAATTTACAGTTTGTTTTTTGTATTTATAATTTATTATTTGCAGTCAACATTCTTTTATTCCTTTAGTCTCAGAACAAAATTAGTTTTGTTTATTTTTAGCAATTATAAAAACGTGCCCTCCTCTACATTTTTTTACTCAGGTTATCAAATGCTTCTGATAACCTAAGTAGAAAAACATTTATTTTTTTTTAGGAGTTACAATGAGGTCCAAAAGTATCTCAGTCACCATTTAGCTATGTTATTTTCACATACAGACCAAAGTCAGCTTCTCGAAGTTGCAAAAGTTTTTATATATTGCATGGAGGTTGGTTTTTAATATACAAAATATTTTATCAATTATTTTTCTGTGGTGTAGATATCTAAAGTAGAAAAAGAGAAACTCTAGAGGTCTTTAGGAGTATTAAGGGGATTTTGGGCATGCAGTGTATAGTTGAGAGGTGTGTAATGAGACGGACTTGGTTTGATTTATCGCTTGTTACTGTTACACAAAAGCTACATGGTGCATAACTTTTTGCCTCCATAAATGATATGAATATTATAAAATTTAAATTTTTTTTATGTTTATTATATATATATATATATATATATATATATATATATATATATATATATATATATATATATATATATATTTGTGTGTGTTACATTAGATTTTAATGTTAAAAGTATTTACTTACCCCTTAACTGTGGCGCAGATTTAAAAATTACATTCTCTTTTATGTCAAAATATTTGTTTAGGATTATTTCAAGTTGTTTAGCTCTTTTTCGTAAAAAGAAAGTGTGTCATAAATTGTAAAAGTTTTATATGAAAAAAAAAGTTCAAGAAAAATATTTTTAAAAAGTTGATTTTGCGCATCTCTATATATTAATGCTTATGATGAATCATATTTGCAGGCAATGAAAAGACAAAATATTGATTTAAAAAATATAATAATAATAAAAGTCATTTACAAACAACTTATGTTAAATTTTCTTAAGTATGATAATACATAAAAAAAGGCACAATACACAAACCAACATTACAGTCCATACACATATATCTTGTCCATGATCTTGCTTTGTTCTCAGAGCATACAACACACCTTCTACCAGGTTTGATAGTTTTTGTGTAGCTCAATGAAATAACATTCTGTTAATTGTAAAGATGAAGGTAATATATGAGTTCTAATTTTTTTCCATTGATTGATTCATGATATTTTAAAATACTCTCTTTAATAATTGATTTACTAAATTTTAAGGGTGTTATATTAGATGATAACTTATTTTTTTAATATTTGCATTGAATGCAAATATACTAATTAGGTGCATGAAAATTTTTTTCTACCATATTTTTACTCTTTTTCTTTCAGATTCGTAGGTTGTCAACATTTGGTCAGATCGGTCAAAGCCATCTATGTTTATGTTATATTCATGTACCAATAGAGGAATTTTTTTTTTTTTACCAGCTATATTAACAGTGACTATATTATTTGGAACACAGGTACTCAGCGCAAACCATGTATATTAAGGTGGAGTGAAAACAACTTTTTTAAGAAATTCGTATTTTCTACCTGATTTCTATAATAATTATAAGAAAACTAAAAAAATGAGACCAAGATGAGCAAAATTTGACAAGAACTACACCCAGCACCAATTTTTGATCAATATTACTTATTATTGAAAGCGCAAACTTAAAATTTTTATAAATATTTTTTATGAAGAAGCTTTAAAGTTATAACATATTAGGTATGATTGTATTATCCATTAGTATTATGACCAAAATACTCACTTTTGCATTGAAAAGGTTAATCTAATACTTTTAACTCATTTAAAAGATATTTTTTGAAATAAAGTTAATATTCAGCATATAATAAAATCCACGCTCTACTACTTTCCCCAAACCATATTTTTAAAGGTATTCAATTAATAAATAATAATATTAATTATAATATCTATAATACTTGTTATCATTTAGTCAGTAATAATAATTATTATCATTTATATATTTTGAGTTTTGTTATAAATTTCAGTAAATAAAATGTTAAGATCAAAAACAGATCATCTATTCTTTGGGTATTCAAAGCCACTCTCTGATGTGCAACTGTCAACAGGACTAAATGTTATGCGGCATATGGTGTATTTAAAAGAAAATATATAAGCTATATTACATATCGTTTGTCAAATAATAATACAATTAGATGTAATATATATATATATATATATATATATATATTATAAATTTACAGAATCCTGCTGGAAAAACCAACAAAAAGAATGAAGCAGGTTCAACCGCAACAGAGGTCTTAAGAATTTGGGGAAAATGTAACATACCAACTGTGTCATCAATTCCATTTTTGACAAAGAGAGTTTTTAACCTTTATGAGCAGAACATAAAGCTGCAAAAAACTCCAACAAGCAGGAAAAATAAAGAAAACAAATTTAAAAAAAAAAAAAACTAGCAAAATTGTTTAATATATCTGCTTGCCAATGCAAAGATCTAAAGAAAAGCTGCTGTGCCAAAGTTAATATGGTACCAGCTATGGAGCACCCTTTCATGGAAGATCAAAGGAGTGATTGCAAAATGACTATAGGTTCAATAGACAAAAAAATTACAGCAAAACTGCAGAATATCCAAAGCAAACAGAGCTCAAACCTTAATTATGCAGTGTCATTAGATTCTTTCATTTCTACCAAACCTATTACTTCGTTGAAAACACCCAGTCATTAACACCTCATCTTCAAAGCAGATGCAATTGTCTCTCCCTTCTCTCTCATTAGCCTGTGACCGCCATTGACTCTCAGACAGATCGGCTGCAGCTGTGGCATCAGCTATACTTGAGGATATTGGAATTATTTCATATGATAACAAAACACAAGTTATTGATCGCAGCAAGATCAGGCGTGAGCGCATAAAAACAAGGGATAACCAGAAAGTTGGTGAAATCCAAGTAAAGGCATTGTACTTTGATGGCAAAAAAGATCTAACACTTAAATTTAATAGTAGTAAGAGAACCACAGTGATAGAGGAGCACATATCCTTGATTCAGGAACCTGGTGGAGGTTACTTGGGACACTGCACTCATCTTAGCAGAACAGCTGAATCACTAAAATTTGCAATTATACAGTATTCTAAAGAGCACAATATTATTTTGGATAATTTGCAAGTGCTGGGCTGTGATGGAACAAATGTAAACACGGGAAACAAGGGTGGTGTTATCAGATTGATCGAGCACTTCAACGGCCTCTACAGTGGGTAATTTGTTTGCTACATGCAAACGAGCTTCCACTACGCCATTTGTTTGGAGAGTTGGATGGTCCAACATCTGGTCCGAGATGTTATTCAGGCTTAATTAGAAAGTCCCTAGAAACTTGTCTTAAAGGTCTTGAAGATAAACCATAATGTAGAAATGCCAGAGGTGGACAGAAAAGTGCTCAGTACAGATCAACTTTATCTTTTTGACATCTGCCAAGCAGTATTAAGTGGTATTTGTTCTACCAACCTAAGCGCAGCCCTAGGAAACTGGCTCATTCTAGGCGGCTCATCACTGCCAATAGGATCCTCAGAATATATGTTTCTACCAGTAGTCCCTTGTCAAATTTGGCAATTTTATCAATGTTCATTATGCCAGTTTATGCCCCTATGTGTGAGTCTTCTATTTTTCATGGCAGCAGGTATCTGTACAGCACAATTGCAAAATCACGATATCTGCCAGCTCCATTACGTAAAATAGTAGAAGAAGTAATTCAAACAATTGCATTCTTTGGTCATCAAGAGAATATTCTTCTGGCAATGGTATCAGATGATATACCACATATCCGAGAAAAAGGTGTTAAGAGTATACAGAGAGCTAGAAAAGAAAAAGTTATGAAAGCTAACCAATCAAGTGTGGGTCAGTTCCTACTCTGAATTTTATGGCAAATAATACGTGGGAGTTGATTAATTGGAGTAATTTGGAGCTGTTGGAGCCACCATTAACAATGCAGCTCACTAAAGAGTAGCTAGAGAAGGTAAAACAGCATCACATTCTACTATCTGACCTTATGGATAAGTTCCCGTGCCACACGCAAGCAGTGGAACGTTGTGTAAAGATGGTGACAGAAGTTTCCGCATCGCTTAGTGGCGAGATAAGTAGAGATGGTATGATACCTGTCTGTCTACAATCTAGGAATAATATGCCAATATTTAATACCAAGGCACATTACAACACTAATATTTAGTGTTATATAATATAAAATATTTACATTTATAGAGAAAAAATCGTACTAATTAGTAATTAGTACAATTTTTTCTCTATAAATGTAAATATTTTGTATTATATGCACCTCTTCAATTCTAAAACTCTCCAAAATAACCTGTTTATAAATTAATATAAATCTATTTGAAAGAAATTATACTAATAATCATTATTTAAATTAACAAATATTAAATCAGTGGCAAATCTAGCGTTTTTTGTTGTTAGAGCCAACTTCCAGATATGGAGCAAACTTTAAACATTCATATTTATACTTACGTCAAATAGGGATGCTTTGCAAAAAATTGCAATGATTGGGACCCGGGAACAAAAATGCCCCAAAAAAATTATCCCCCCACCCCAAATTTGAGGGCAACTAGATTGCAGAGTATTTTATTTTTTACTTTTCTCAACTCAATTAGAATTCATTGATAAATTTAAAATTTTATGAATTAATCTCTCATTGTTCAAAAATTATGGCAACATAAAATTGCGATCCCCTCAAATTGAGGGGGATCTAAACTTTATACGGCCATAACTTTTGAATGCTAAGAGTTTATTTCATGAAGTTTGAAATCTATTGATGAATTCTAATTGAGTTGAGAAAAGTAAAAAAAATATGTTGCAAACTAGTTGCCCTCAAATTTTGGGTAGGAGGATAATTTGTTTGGGGTATTTTTGTTTACAAGCCCCAATCATTGCAATTTTTTGTAAAGCATCCCTATTTGACATAAGTATAAATATATAAATGTTTAAAGTTTGTTCCATGTCTGGAAGTTAGCTATCTTTAATACCAAAAAACGCTGGATCCACTCCTGTATTAAATGTAGAAAATTTGGAAACTTTTGGTTTAGAATAGTCCAAAAATTGGTGCTGGGGGTAATTCTTGTCCAATTTTGCTCATTTTGGTCTCATTTTTTTAGTTTTCCTATAATTATTATATAAATCATGGAGAAAATATGAATTTCTAAAAAAAGTTAATTTCACTCCAACCTAATGTATATATCTCTCTTATCTCCATATTTGCTATGCATTATATTTGTTTTTATATCATATCACACTAAAATAACACCAGTTTTAAGATTCTTAGAATTCTTTTTATCTTGTGGTAACTGTTTGTAATTAATGCGTTATGTGCCAATACAATCAGTATTATGATCTAGCAATACCTTAAAATTTAATAAGATATGTACCAAATATCAATATGCAAACAATAGCCGTTTCCAATTAAGTTATCCATTAGTGTAATAATAGTTTTAGTAGCTTGATATTTGTATTTTTTAAATCAGGAGCAAAACTGTTGCTCGTTTTAGTTCCTGTGTACAAAAAACAATTCCAAATATAAGTCAGATTCATACAATATAAAAGACTTTATACTGAGTTTTGAATGTTTGTTTGGAATGTATTGCTTCCAGCCTAAGTGACCTCTCTAAAGTAGTAATGATTCATCTATGGATATATTTTTATGTGGTATGTACAGAGTTTTGGAAAATTACTGTTGTTAACAAAATGAAAAAACTTCTCAACAAGAAAAATTATTAATGGTGTGTCAAACGAAGGGTTTGTTGAAAAATACATGGCATTTGTTGGTTTCCACAGGATTCTACGGTATAAAATGAATGCTATAAGCAGTCTTATATCATTTCTGACTAATGGTATCCATTTCTGAACTCTATATCTACATTTAAGTTCATTATTTTTACAAAATTCTGCTGCAAAAATGTTACTTACTTCTATATTCAGATCAACAATCTCGTTGGTTACAAAAGCTTCAAATAAAGTAAGAGGGCTACTATCAACTAAAAAACTTGGGTGGGGTCCTGGGTCTCCTTTACAGAGTTTTAAATTTACAAAGTTCGCTTTATAATTATCAGCATTAATTCAATTTGGTTCATAGACTAAAATATTTTCTGAGGTATCTATGACAGCGTTAGAGTTTATTTAGGGCTATTGTTGTTTTGTTGATTAAAAATTTTTTTCTAATGAGGTATACTACTTTCTGATAATAATACCTACTTGGTTTTATTTCTTAAAATTAATTGATTAATATTTTTATGTTTCTATTAGAATTTTAATTTATTTTGTTTTTCATGTTTTCTTTTGGTGGTATGGTAAGTTTTTTATTTTAATTTTTTTTTTTTTTTTTATTTTAATTTTTTTTTTTTTTTATTTATTTTTATTTTTGTTTGTTCAGTAATTCTATACTGTTTATATCATATCATCAAAAGAAATATTGGTGCTTTACAAATTTGGAGTTGGTTGGGTTTTGGCTATTTGTAGTGAGTCCTTTTTTACTGCAGTATGGAATAGGCCTAAGTCGCGGGGTAAAGCATAAGTGGCAATGACGTTTGTCTGACGGGATAAACTAGTTATAAATGCTGATCCTCATCGAAACGCCAGTAATAATAGACGCGACTCTGAGGAGATGTTTATTACTTATCACTACACTAATTATGTTTACACATTAGCATTAATGTTTTTTTTCCATTATTAGTCCTTTCATTGTCGTTAGCATATTTTTAATTTGTTGAATAGTTTTTTGTTTTACAAATTTTTGACTGGTTATGTATTTCTTGTATATTTTAGTTCATATTGGTAATTATAAAACAATTTTTTTTATTTATTTATATATATATATATTTTTTATTATTATTTGTTTTTATTTTTATTTATATATTTTTTTTATTTTATTTTATTTTTTTTTTTTTAATTTATTTATTTATTTTTTTTTTTATTGTTATTATGGTTGAGTACTGTTTTGGTTGTATAGCTTGTCTTATTTATTTTTAAATATTCCTCTATTAATTTTTTATTTTTGTCTTGACAACTGTCAAAAATGCTTTGTCTAATAAATAATTCTCCTTTATTCTAATGTACTTCATTTCTTCCATCAGGCGTTCACTGCTCGTGTGTGACCATTCGGCGAATTTTATATGCCAAAGTTTTTAAATAATATTGGGCCTAGCCCGTAAGGGTTAGTGTTACGGTCATCGAGCACGACTATTTTCCTAATCGCAATTACTGTCACCGCGAAAGAGGATTTTTGTCTGTGGAAGATGCCTTGGCTAGCTTTTTAGTCATAAGTCAGTTATAAATCCATGCATAGGTGTTTAATCCATCATGGTTTTCTGGAGTATGGCTGGGCTTGCTTGGTTTGGTTCACAGACAAATCTTTTACGCTGGTTACTAACAATACAAGACTCTACTGAACGACATAAACAGCACAGACTTACACATTACATCTATACACCCTTATGCACATACAGCCTGTTTACATCTTTTGCATGCTTTTTGTTCTTTCATAGATAAACTATCTTTGTTTGAACTCATCCTTATTTAGATAATATTTTCTTTTAATAGATATGTTGTTGAATTGTAGATACAGATTTATATGTTATCTATATGTGTTTATCATGTGTGATTGAATTTTTCATTAAAGGATTCATATGCATATACATATAAGCATAAGAGCGATTCTTATAAACTAGCGGCTTTCGACTTGTTTTTATGAAGTATCTTTTTCCTTGTTATTTTGTTATGGTCTCAAAGTTACATTTAATTCGGACCGTAGAGAAAACTTTATTTTTCGGAAATTTCGATTTAGATATGGTCTCAAAGTTACTTTTAATTCGGACCGTAGAGAAAACTTTACTTTTCGGAAATTTCGATTTAGATATGGTCTCAAAGTTTCTTTTAGTTCGGACCGTAGAAAAAACTTCATTTCTTAACAATTTTTTTTCCCGCTTTCTTCATCGTTTTTATATCACAATTTATATCATTGTTATATAACCCACAACTAATTTTTCAACCACTCATTTGGCTTAAAATTATCTGGTTTTATTACAATATTTAGTTAGTCTTATTGCTATATTTATTAATATATTACTTATCTCCTGATTTTCATATTATTACTGTTTACAGAAACTTTCATGTTACATTATCTTGAATTCATTACTCAGCTTTGTTTTAATTTTCACATGCACAATTTTCATCTTTACTATTATTCAGAGAATATTTTTATATCCTTCATTTAATGTTTACATATATGTCGCTTACATTTTTAAGGTTTTTGTGCAACGTTCTTTTTCGCTATCATATATTATTCTATTATTGTTATGATTTTGGGTTTCGCGGGTTACTCATTTTCCTACACTTTTGATTGGTTATCATATTTCGAATGAGGTATCTATGACAGCTTTAGAGTTTATTTAGGGCTATTGTTGTTTTGTTGATTAAAAATTTTTTTCTAATGAGGTATACTACTTTCTGATAATAATATCTACTTGGTTTTATTTCTTAAAATTAATTGATTAATATTTTTATGTTTCTATAAGAATTTTAATTTATTTTGTTTTTCATGTTTTCTTTTGGTGGTATGGTAAGTTTTTTATTTTAATTTTTTTTTTTTTTTTTATTTTAATTTTTTTTTTTTTATTTATTTATTTTTATTTTTGTTTAAAAAAAAATGTAATTTAATCAAAGAATGAATATGAATTGTTTTCTTTAATCAAATTACTGTTTAGAAACCAAGATGCCAAGATCTTTTTGAAGAAGAGGATCTTATAGAAAACCTACCAGAAATAATTTTTTCAACAAATAAAGACATTATTCTCTACTTTCAGTTTAGAAGATCTGGAGACAAAATAACTCCAACAAAAAAGCTGATTGCTTGTACCATTGGTCATCAAACAGCAAAGTGTTCTGGTCTTGGTAGCTGTCCTGAAAACTGCATTATGTTTGCAGTTAAAAAACCTTGAATAGACGGAGGATACGAGGATGGGATACTCACTGACCCTTATTTAGTTTTTTTTATACTGCACAATTGACAATATATAATATTTTTATTATTTTTTTCTATGTATATTTTATTTTTATTATGAATGCTGCATTTATTTGTTGACTCATCAAAGCTTAAATCTAATATAACATTACAGCAGTCTGAGCATTTATATACTATTGTATCTTTAGTAAAATAATTATTAAATATAACTGAATCATATTTTTTCATAAAATATTTAATGAATATATAAAAGTTTTTAATACATTCTGTAATATTTAGTATATCTTTTATATATTTTTTGTGTTTAGTTTTATAAAAATTTTCATGAAAGGTCAGGTTTAATATATTACTTATTTTATTTTTTATTTTATAACTATGCATGATATATTCATTTAGTTCTTTAGATTTATAAAATTTCTCATAAATAGTTTCATATAATTCTATTATTTTAGCTTCTAGGCAGCTAAAATATTAGCTAAAATTTCGTATCATACTGATATGAAATTTTTGAGAGATCAAAAGGCCAGACGTAAAATGACTCTGCCTAAAAAAGACAAGCTATATAACCGGAGGGTTGAGAAGAGAGAACAAAGAAGATTGAAACATCCACAGTTAGTACATAGTGTTGAACAGTTTTCATACGAATTATTATCACTATAAGATTTATTATAATCATTTTTTTTATAAGGTAGGTTAAACAAAATTTAATTCATATTTAATGGACAGGTTACCATAAAATACACTGCAAAAGTTTTGGATAATATAATATTTTCTAAACCAGTTATATATTATTATAGGAAGCATATCACTGATCTGATCAACAGCTGGGAGAGTTTAAAGAAAAGTAAGTGTAAGAACTCGAAAGAAGCAGGAAAAGCTAGACAAGATTTCAAAAAAAAAAGGAAATAAGGTTTTCTGGATTGCTAAACCAAATATCCAAGATATTCTAAAAAAGACAAGCCTTAATAAGGTCTCGTATCATACTGATATGAAATTTTTGAGAGATCAAAAGGCCAGACGTAAAATGACTCTGCCTAAAAAAGACAAGCTATATAACCGGAGGGTTGAGAAGAGAGAACAGAGAAGATTGAAACATCCACAGTTAGTACATAGTGTTGAACAGTTTTCTCAGAGAGATGATTTGACTACAGAGCTTCAGTTTTCTTCTGAAACTAGTGATACAAGTACCAGCATGGACTCAGATTGTTCTTTGATTTCGAACAGCCAGGTCCAAGTAATGATACGTCGCAGTTAGCCAAGAATTTTGTACAAGATATTGCCATGACTTCAGTTTCCAAAAATATTTCCTCTAGAGATTTGTTGCATGTGTGTACAGATTTGGTTGTTAATTCAGGTGGAAATGTTGAAAACTTTTTACTGTCTCAATCAACTCTTTGGCGAGCACAAAAGAAAACCATCCATCAAAATGCTGCACAGCACAAAAGGGAGGTTAAAAAAGCTGGTGAGAAAGCACTTTTCCCCATAATAGCTCACTTTGATGGAAAAATTATAGAAGATTTCACTAATGGGAAAAAAGAAAAAAGAGACAGGTTTGTTGTTTCAGTTAATATTGATGGAGACATTAAGCTTCTTGGAATTCCAGCTATGGAGCATGGAACTGGAGCTGCTCAGTATGAAGCTTTGAATAATGTACTGGAAGATTATGGAATATGTGACGATGTGAAGGGAATATGTTTTGACACAGCTGCCTCAAATACTGGAAGACATTCAGGAACCAATACTAGGTTCAGTCAAAGACAGGAATCTATTTTGTTAGAGCTTGCCTGCAGGAGGCATATTTATGAGCTTCATCTTAAACATTTCTGGGAGCAAATTACCTCAGGCAAAACAGCAGCTCCAGAAAATTTAATGTTTAAACGGTTTCAGACAAACTGGAATTGCATCAAGAAAACTGTTGATCCTTCCAATTTAATAACGTTAGATATTAATTCCATCAGCAATACTTTCTTGGCTACCCAGATTGAGGAAACTATCCAGTTTTGCAAGGATGCATTAAACACTGACATTGTTCCCAGAGGGGATTATAGGGAGTTATTGGAACTTACCCTGATGTATCTGCATCCTTAAATATTTTTTAAAGTTCGAGCTCCAGGCTGTGTTTCTCATGCTAGGTTCATGTCAAAAGCCATTTACTACTTGAAAATTCAGATATTGAGTACACATCTGCCCTATGATTTGACTGTTTCCCAAAGGAAAGAGTTAAAGGCAATGGCAGAATTTATCTCGATTTTCTATTCTGTCTGGTTTCTGAGAACCTCATTACCATCAGCTGCACCATTTCAAGATGTAAAAGCTTATTGGCAAATGGTGCAGTACAAAGAACATGTAGAGAAACACAACGCTGATTCTAAGAGAGTTCTAAACGGAATTAAAAGCACAATGATGTCAATGAAGAGACACACCTGGTACTTAGATGAAACTTTAGTTCCACTTGCTCTCCTAGACCCTGACCTTTCTAATGTGGAGAGAGAAAACATTGCAAAAACATTATTCTCCATACCAGTTCCTGATCATTTTCAGCATTCAGAGAAGTCAAACTTGATCAAAGAGTTAAATTTTAAACAAGAAGTGCCACCAGGACTTGCTCGATTAATCGGAGAGAACTCTTGGTTCATCCTCAGTTTGCTAAACCTGACAAGAATGGAGGACAAACTTTGGTTAAACTCTCCTGCTCCTATGTGGTGCTATGTTGACCAGTTCAAAACATTATCCAATTTTGTAAATAAACTTGAAGTAGTGAACGATAGTTCTGAAAGGGCTGTAAAACTTGTGTTAGAGTTTGTGAATAATGTTCACAACGAGGATGATCGTCAAGAACTTTTACTAGCTGTGCAGCAAAGACGAGATCAGCTCCGTTGGTCAGGAACCAAGGAACAGTTGCAGCTAGCATATAAAGCAATATGCAAGAAGAGAAAAAAAAATAACATGATTTATATATTATATTTAACTATTGCATTATATTTTATTATGTTTACATATCACGATTTTAATATTTATATTGCCAAGTGAAGTTTTTTTTTTTAAGAAAATAAAGTGATTTTAAATAATATGATTTACAATAAAATTTAAATTAATTTGCTTGCCCCCCTCCCGTCTCCAACGAACAAAGTATGGGGGGGGGGAAGGGAGGGGAGAGACATCTCCGAAAATAGGGTGAGGGGGGCGGATAGCTATTGACATGCCCCTTCTATATAAACATTATTAATGCTTAGTCCTAACATTATTTTTCAAAATTCGGCCTAAATATGAAGAATAAACAAGCATTAGTTAGACGTAGTGGTGCGTCATTTTATGTAAAAATTCGTTTTTTTCGTCACTTTCTCCAAACTATGTGGAATAAATACCACCATATTTCATTTTGGTCCTACTCTATTATAAATAAATAGTCCAAAATATACCATATAAAAGAAAAGTTGGCTTTCTGAGTTGATTTTAAAGGTCCCCGCCAGACCCCTAAAGTTTGATACGTTTTTGTACACAAATCCGGCGGGGACCTTTAAAGTCACGTGACATTAAAATTTTTGGGCTTAAAATTATTTTTATACTGGTGGTCAACCATTCCAGGTAGGACCAACTTGATTTTCGAAAATTCGTCAAATATGAATCACCCTAATGTATATACATACATATATATTTATTTATATATAAAGGATAAAAAGGAATTGGATTTTTCAATGCTAATAAAGGAGACTGTTATTAACTCGACTTTACTTGAATATGTATCAGATGAATTGGTTACTGGATATAATTAGTTAGTCAAACCTGGAGAATCCTTAACAGAAGTCTTATTACTTGAACGTATTGCTGCATTGCGAATAACTTTGACAGTATCAGCTCAAGTATTGTGTACCTGGTTTCTTGGAGAAACTTTAAACGAAACAAAAGTTAAAAAAAATTTTGATAGCTTTTTGGCCTTACTAACAAAATTTATTCTTAAGTATAAAGACAGTCAACCATACTTTTATTTCTTGAAACAAATTGTTCGAAATTATGGTATTCAAGGTTTGAAAGAAATTGTAATAAAGCCTGAAGTTGATTGGCTTCTAAATCAAGATGAAAGCGTTGTAAGCTGTAGTTTGGTTTTTTTATGATTTAAACAAAAATCTTTTTCCTTTCTCACATTTTTACAATTATTTTTTACATTATTTATTTTTAATTTTTTCAACTTTTTCTTGACACATCCCTTACGGAAATATTCCATGGAAAACCCATGGAATTCCATGAGTAAACCATGGTTTTCCCATAAAAAACTGGAGTTTCCATGGGTGAATTTCATGAAAATTGAAATCCCATGGAATTTCCATGGTTTTTTTTTTTTTCATAGCTTATGCTGCGCCATGGTTGTTACGAATGCGCTTTTATAGATGGCGTCATAGCTTGTACAGTAACGATTACTTTTAACTTGAGTAAACAATACCGCATTCTTCTGTTTTTCTGTGTTTAATAAGACTATAAATGATATGTTTGTTATAATGCATCACATTTATATGATTCAAACTAAACATACAGACATAAGCAACTAGATATATTTATCATATTATAATTATAAAACAGATTATTTTTGATTATATTTAATTTTATATCATTTATGGATATACTTATTTTAACTGTTTCCAGTAGCTTTGCATAACTTACAATAGTATAGCAAGTATGTCAAGTAAACCAGTTTGAATTTTAATGCTTACTTGGCAAATTATTTGCCAAATAATTATTATTTGGTTTACAACAAATAAACGTTTACTTTTAATCTACATTAAATAACTAGTGTATTAATTAGGGTTGTTAACCGGAGGATTTCGTGCAATTCCGGAAAAACAACATTCTTTCGTAAGGAGATTGAGAACACGGAATTACATTTTTTCGTACCGAATGTTACAAAACATTTAAAATCGCCGACGTTCATTTCGCAAAAGCCACTTCCGAAATTTAGCATTTCGCAAGTTGACATACGAAACAAAACTATTTTGCAACATACGAAAGTAGCAGTTTCGGAAGTCGCACTTGCGAAACAAACATTTTTGCCAAACGACGTTTTGAAGTCTATAAAGAAAATTTGTTTGCCAGACTGATTTTAATTGTAAAAATTAACATCTTTAAATCCCAAAATGTTTATAAAGAATTTTTATTTTCAGTAAAATAACTTATTAAATTTTTACGGTTTTATTTTTAGAAATATTGATAAAAAATAAAATTTCTTTCGAAACGAAAGTGTTTCGGATCACAACATACGAAAGAATTCTTAACGAAAATATACTTACGAAACGTGCCATAACAAATATATACAACGATGTTTTTTGAACTCATTACGTATATTAAAAATAAGAATGATGGGTAGGAATATACATGTTTTTTTTTTTAAAGCATATGAAATTTTTGAAACAGGTTCGAATATGCTTAAGCAAATAGTAAAAAGAGGCTCAAAAATATGCTTTAGCTTAAGCATATTTCTGATAAAATATACCTATTTCAATAATTTCTAAAAGTGTGCACGTTACTAAAATTCTATCAGATTTTAAAGGTATGTAGAGTCCTGTTTGAATACGCTTTTCAAAGTATAGATCATAGAAATTTTGTTTTTTAATTTTAATAAGATATAAATTTGAGTATAAGATTGTATAGTTCAATCAGTTAGATACGTGATAATTTGCCGCAGAGATCCGGGTTCGCATCCCGCAGCCATTGTAACTTTTGTTCATCAAACTCTTTTTACTTAAGATAGCATTTTTTGACCTCCATGTTCTATATTACAGATCTTTCGTCGCCTTCACAATAGTGACAACCTCTCTTCTGTTAGTTATTCTTTTAAGATTGAGTTCATTGTGCTTAATTCAACACGGTTTCCCTTGCTTTACTAAGTTCTACTTAAATTATGATGAAATGTACGAAAAACAATTTTTTCAAATAATATAATTCATTTTGCTTTAAATCTTTTGCTTTTTGTACTAGACATCTGTCCTAAATACTTTGTAATAATTTCTAGCTAACTCTGAGTCTAATATAACCATTTCTGAATATAACTTCCCTGAGGCTCCTACAGCCTATTGTGTTCCATTAAAAGTAACTAGTTTTTGAGTCCAGATATTAATTATAAGCATCTAAAGGTTCACATTACTATTCATTTTCCTGATATATAGAATCCTATTTGCATACGTATCTCTTTCTGTAAATTCTGTTTTATATAGTTTCAAATTATATATTAAATAAATATTACTATTCTCTTAGTTGAATGAACGTATAGCTCATTCAGTTAGACATTTGGCCGCGTAGACCCAGGTTCACATCCCGCTGTTTCACATATATTTCTTCTCTTTTTACTCTTTCTGATATCATTTACCTTTAGAGAGTTCTCTCGTTCTTTATAATAAAGTATTTAATTGTTTATCACACATCATCTTTATACTTTTTAAAAAGAAAGGCATACTGTTTATCTATTCATTGAGAGTCCAACTTAACGGGATTTTACTGTATATA